GATATCGTGATCAAGTCTTTGGTGGAATTCTTCAAGTTTAATTTTCCTGTCTTCAATTTCGTGATTGGTTGCTGCTACATTGGTTTGTTTATTCTTCGATTTTCGGTGTATTCTCCATTGTTTTTCAACACTGGTGTAGGACGAAAACAAAAATTTTAAAAACAAGCAAAGTCATTCTTGATGTGTTGGTCTACCATGGGCAAGATAACAATCCTGTTTAATAAGAGTAAATTTGCGGGAAATTTGCCATCTATAACTTTTGAAACTTTTTGTTGAACCAAAATTTTCTTCATCTTTTGTTGTCAAATTGAAAAATCAAATTTCTCATTGAAACTTTCAACTTTGAAATGTGACATTTTGAAAAGTTGGAACAACTAAAGCGTACAAATAAATCACACAAAGTAATCATAATATCGCAATATACACCGTTCTAGATTCTCAGAGTTTCGTGAGACTCGAAATCTCATGATCAATGGAATGTTCGAACATGTCAAATCTAGGTATTCTAACAGAATAATCAATGCAATACGAAAGTATGTCAGCAAAAAATTTAAATTTGCATGCAAAGCAGTCTTACACAGTAACTAAGTAACAGTTAAAGCACAAATATTTAAGGTACATTAGGTATAGAGAGAAGTCCAAATCAATACATGTGCCAACACTTATAAACCATCCAAGAAGTGGAGAAATAGGACACGAGCAGCTCTAACTAAGCTCCTGTCTGGTTGCAATTAAAAGCACCAGAAATGACTATTTTTATCGTTACATTCAAACAAGTGGGCCCCATTCTCTCACAATTGATTCAAAAATGGAGGCTGCAACGGTCCAAATTGCAATTGAAAGCAGAAATAGACAAGGCCTAAATTAGGTCACCTCCAATGGTCTAAATAGTTCTAGGTTTAGATCGTTCCATTGAGGTGTCAATATTTCAATTCAACCATTTGATCGATGCCAACTGAATAATTTCGATTAAACATCATTGCTCAAGATTTATTGTGTATCAAAAAACCTAACAAATATCATACTAAGTATTGTGATTCCATATTAAAAGGGTAATTTCTCTTAAGAGAGGTAACACAAACTTTCATATGTTGGCTAATTATTCATCATTATTCAATATGAGATTTATAACATTATTCGATAAATTTCACATGAATTAAATATTAATTAATATATAAGAGTTTTTTTTTTTTAATAAAGTTGAATCATGTTAAGATACAATCCCAAAACTATATTTAGTGCTTATATGTTAAAACTGCTTTTTTGTTAATAAGTTGATCGAACTTCGTCTTTAATTAGACATTTTATTTCGCTTTTCAAAAATCTACATTAAGGGCCTGTTTGTTTTTTATTCTCAAATTTTACAGTAAATCAATTCTCATTTTCAACCACACATTCTTCAATAAAATAATATTTTCCATCACATCAATAATTTTTTCTTCTTTTTCAACCACACATTTCCCATCATATCACTATTCAAAAATCANATTTTAGTTGAATTTTGTGCTTTCGTTACACTTGTATGCAATTCAACCACACATTTTTCAATAAAATAATATTTTTCATCACACCAATAATTTTTTCTTCTTTTTCAACCACACATTTCCCTTCATATCACTATTCAAAAATCAATTCTTCTCCCAAAAATCCCTACCAAACAAGCACTAAATATATTCTTAAAGAATGATGACAACGAACGAAGAAAAAAGAGGACTGATTAACTTGGGCATCACGGTATGTACCTTGCTTTACTTGCCAAGGAAGCTCATCTTGCTTGACTTCATCTTTCTGATTGACGCACATGTTTTTCCATCAAATTTTGTCTTGTTGGTTGAAAACTTTTCTTCATTTGCTAATAATTCCAATGCCTTTCATGTTGGAAACCTTATGAAGTAGGTAGAACCCATGTGACAGAAGAAATGTAAGTATTCCAAAATCTCTTCTTCCATAAAAAGTGAGCCTACATACAATGTTTAAAGACACGTTTGTGATATTAATAAAAACACACGGCGAAATGAATATATCAAATGTACATGTACGTTAATGGTAACTGAATGATTAAATAAATTAAATATATATTAAAAAATGAAAAGTAAGGTATAATTGAAATAACTGAATTTTAGTTGGGTTAGAATCATCCAAATAATGATTCTCACTTAACGTGATATTTAATATATTATAGATATTATTTGTTTTTAATTATAATTTCCTTTTGGTCTTTTGCTGTGGAATTGATGAGAAAACGAATGAGGCTGCTGCATGATGAATTGACCAATTCAAGCAGCGTTCACGGCGTTGAAAAATAAAATGGGAACACAATTTATTTCCTTCTCTTGTATGCGGGTCGAAATTTCCAACAACGCCAGTCATTACTCCCACAATTTCTCCCCCATCCCAATCTGCTACTGCACCTTAACCTCCATCACAATTCTCTCTCTATATATACACACACAGGTAAAAATGAGTTTATACCAAGCCAAGCGAATACCAAAAGTTTAGAGATCGGTATTTAGAGAGAGAGAGAGAGAGAGTTGCAACGAGCAATGGATGATCGGATGGCACCAGGTTTTAGGTTCTATCCTACAGAGGAAGAACTCGTTTCTTTCTATCTGCGTAATAAGCTACAAGGCACAAGAGCAGTAGTGGACATCGACAGGGTTATACCATCTCTTCATATTTATGATTACAATCCNAGCTACAAGGCACAAGAGCAGTAGTGGACATCGACAGGGCTATACCATCCCTTCATATTTATGATTACAATCCATGGGATCTTCCACGTAAATAATTTATATTGTTTCAATTCTTGTTTTTACCAAAGGTTAATTAATTAATACTGCTTGACGGTTAAATACATGAACTTCTTCTTCTTTTCGATTCTTAAGTTTATTCGAAGGTGGACAAAAAGTATTTTTGACGAGTTTGAACTAAAATTTAAGCTTTGCCGAGCATACGCTATGTCTGTTTAGTTTTCGAGGCTATAACCAAAATATACTAATATTTGTTTAGGGAAATTAAAATCCAGAATTTGCAGGAGAGCGTTGTCGTGGAGATCTGGAGCAATGGTTTTTCTTCGTTCCAAGGCAAGAAAGGGTAGCCCGTGGAGGAAGACCTAACCGGCTCACGGCACAAGGATACTGGAAAGCAACTGGATCTCCCAGTTTTGTATATTCTTCACAAGATCTTGTAATTGGTAAGAAGAAAACAATGGTTTTCTATGCAGGAAGAGCTCCACATGGAAGAAAGACTGTGTGGAAGATGAATGAGTATAAAGTGCTTGAATTTTCTCAACTTTCCTCTTCAACTGCTGGAAATCCACAGGTCTAATTAGAAATTAGGATTGTATTCCTAAATGATGCAAAAGCTGTAATTTTAGTATCAATGGAACCATTTTATTGTGAGAATCTTAAAATTGTCAAAAAGAAATGAAAAATGGCCTAAACCCTAAAAATTAACTAGATCATATTTCATGTTTATAATCTTTGCATAATCTGTCTTTTGTTCAAGAAATCGGAATAAACTCTAATATAGTGCTTCTTCTCCTCCGAGCCTACGCCCTGAAATCATTCTAATAGTAATAATATGCATTAAAAAGCATATATGATTCTGATCTTTTTCATAGTGGCGCTAATTTGCTATCTTTTCTCTGGTTTCCAATTTCGTGTAGTTATGGGAGGAACTCAGTTTATGCCGAGTCTACAGAAAAACAAAAAGTGTGAGGTCGTTTGACAGAAGGCCGCCGCCACCAGATGAAGTGGTTGAACGCCACCAATTAGTGGCGACACTCCACCAAAATGTGGCAACAACATCCCAACAAAACCATCCATTAGCGCCGCACCACCAAAATGTTGAAGGCCACCGGTTAGTGGCGGCACACCACCAAAATGTGGCGACAACATCTCAACAAAACCATCCATTAGCGGATGCAAGGAGTTACTTATTTGTTAATTCCTCATCAGAAGATCATCATATTGCTAATAACAATATGGCTGCTGCAGAAAATGAACATTGCTCATGGGACAGGGAATGGTTTGATTTTACACTTTTGAACTGACGGTTTTGTAACATTACTATATATTCCTTGATCAGGTGGACGGACATATAACAAAATTTTCTAGTTGTTAAGATTCTCATAAGTATATGAATCTATGATCTTTGCAAGAAATATTTTATTGAGGATCAAGAATTTTATTTTATTTTTTTCAATTTAAATTTGAAAAATAAAACACAATTACATTAATTATTTAATTGTTTTATAGCCAATTGGTAAAGTTTCTATATTTATATATAGAAGACGAGGTTTTGAATCCTCTCGATCGATCATAATTTTATTTTTCTTTTCTTTTTATTTGGAAAGTTTTTGAAATCATCCCCAACTTTGAGGACCTATGTAAAAATTCGATCCAACCCTTAAAATCAAAGTTTTCAATTTCCTTCCTTAAGTTTCATATTTTATTTCTTTTCACGTAATTTCATTAATATTTGCATTAATGTTATCATTAAATTTTCATCATATGATATACACAAACAAATTTTTGTACGTGTAAAGTTGACAATATATAATTCATACACAATCTATCTTTCACTTACAAATGTTTTATTCATTTTCAATTTCAAGTTTATTGTTTACTTCAAATGTCGCTCTATCCTTTAGCTACGACTACATCATTGACCGTCGAATATCGTAGCACCGTAAATTAGCTATATAATTATATTACCTTCATTCTTTGACACGTGTTTCCTAATTGTTCGACACTACGTGGCTAGCGTCATCTTCCATTTTTTTTTTTCCCCTTTCTATCTACTACAATTTATCAAATCTAAAGGAAATTGAATTTTAAACAGATCCATTTTGTCAACCCTAATTCTTTTTCTATTTTCTACTAAAACTTTTCAAAGATACTCCACGTGTTGTGTAAATAATTGTAAGGAAAGATAAGGTTCTTTTTTTTTTTTTTTCAAGTCATAAAAGATAGTGAAAACGATAAAAAAAGAACTAATTTCATCTTAGGAGATTGGCATGGAGAGAAAAATGGACAAAATTTTCATTACACAAACATTAAGGAAAGATTGAACAGCCTGGTTTTGTAGCAGTACTATATATACCTTGATCAGGTGGACAAATAACAAAGGTTTTTAGTACTTAAGAACAGGATATTATGATCTTTGCAAGAAATATTTTATGTGGAAATTACACACTTCCCTACTTTTGGAGATTCAAATTCTAAAATCAGATTTTATCTTTTAATGTTAAAAAATCAAATATTTTTAATTAGATACATATTATAATTATATAATTAAATATTANAAAAAAAAAAAAGATAACAGTGTTGTAACATAAATGTTTTAACCTTTCACAATTAAGTTTAATTTTAATTTTCAGTTTTTTCTTTACTTTAATTTTTAATTTTTAGATTTAATTTAAAAAAATTAGAAATCTTAATTTCAGAGTGTAAATTATATTTGAATAATGTAGGGTTGAATTTCTCATTATAAAAGGGAAATCATATTTCTTTGTTTTATACTGTTAGAATTTAGGTGTGACCCGAATTCCTTATTGAAATAATTGAAGAATTGTAATTGAAGTGTACGTCATGAAGAATTCAAATTTGGAATATTATTGGAGTCCTATGTCATGTTAAAAACCTATTTTGGAAGTCCATTGGGAGTTGAAATTTGTTTTTGACTCAATTTTATAATATCCTACTTTATCAACAAATCTACTATGTGGGTTTAGACATCTCCTACTTATTTCCTATAAATATTATGCTCTTCTATACAATTTTATAATGTGAGAAAATAGATTACTAGAATTATATGATCTATTATAATTTTTCTCTCTTCTCCATTATTCTTAAATCAATAAAATATTTTAATTCATCTGTCGTATTCTTGTATTTATTATTATTTTGTTGGATCATATATTTCATAATTATTTGCAATATTACTTCAATATCTCAATTCGGTGATTTGTTCCACAACAATTGGTATCAGGGCTATTCTGGTATCTTGATTGTTTTGTAACAATTGGTATAAGGTTTAGCAATTCAACAAAAAGTGCAAGGTTTGATTTATTCGAGATTTTTTTATTCGTGATGGCTTCCATGAAATATGACATTCCGCTTTTGGATTGGAGCACTAGATTTTCACTATGGCAGGTTAAGATGCGTGCGGTACTCGCACAACTCGATTTGGATGATGCGTTGTTGGGAATTGACAAGATACCCGCAACTTTGACCGCGGATGAAAAATTACGAAAGGATAAGAAGGCGGTTTCTCACATTCATCTTCATCTATCGAATATCATTTTTCAGAACGTTTTGAAAGAGAATTCAAAAGCTACTTTATGATTGAAGTTGGAGCAATTGTGCATGACTAAAAGTCGACAAGCAAATTGAACCTCAAGCAGCGTTTATACTCTCATCAATGTGAAGATTGTTAGAATTTGGATGTAACCCGAATTTCTTGTTGAAATAATTGAAGAATTCTAATTGAAGTTCACGCCATGAAAAATTTAAATTTAGAATATTATTGAAATCATATTTCATGTTTAAATTCTATTTTGGAAGCCCATTGGAAATTGAAATTTATTTTGGAAACTCAATTTTATGGTATCTTACTTCATCAACAAATCTAGTAGGTGGGTTTGGACATCCCCTACTTATTCCCTATAAATATTAGACTCTTCTATATAATTTTATAATGTGAGAAAATAGATTACTAGAATTATAGAATTTATTGTAATTTTTCTCTATTATCAATTATTATTAAGTTAATAAAATCTTTTAATTCCTGTCATATTCTTATAATTATTATTTTTTTGTTTGATCATATATTTTATTATTATTTGCCATATAACATCAATATCTCAATTCGGTGGTTTGTTCCACAACAATTGGCATCAGAGCTATTCTGGTATCTTGATTGTTTTGCAACATATACAATTTGAAAAAAAAAAAAAAAGATGTCTATTCATTCCATACTATAGTTTTGACAACTCGATATAATGCTCGTTATTTCTTTTATTGTGGTCGTGTTCATAAAAAAGAATAAATTGTTCGCTATATAAAATTTATTTTGGAGTCTTGTAGTGCCGAAAGTACCGACACCAAGGGAAAATCATACAACTTTAGAACAACAACTCTCTTAGGCCGATCTTTCTTAACTTTTAATTTCCTATTTTATTCGATATTAACTTATGCTATTCAGATTGTTATTTATTGTCTAAATTATAAAATCTACAAACAAATCACATTTTATACAACAAAAAGTTTGTGGGTCCGTTTCATGGTTTAAAAAGTTGATAAAAATTGTGGTAAAATAAAATTGGTGATTAAAATTGAAATTGGACCATTTTTTTGAAACCAAATACCAAATAATCTTTCTATATATAAAAAGTGTCTATTTAACGGAATTTGTTGGTTTAACGGAAAAACTAACGGAATTTTTTGTTTAACGGATTATGTAACGGAATTTCTTGTTTTAAACAGGCAGCTGCACCTTCTTTCAGTGTTTTTATCATAACTTTGTATTTCGATATTCGATTGAGGCGATTAAAAATACGTTGCAAAGCTAACACATCTGGCTACAACTTTGATTCAGACATCATTCTCCAATTCGATCACTTTCTATGCCAAAAATATGTCTCAATATAACGGACTACTATGTAACTGAATTTTTTATTTTAAACAGGCAGCTGCATCTTCTTTCAGTATTTTATCATAATTTTGTATTTCGATATCCGATTGAGGCGATTCAAAATGCGTTGAAAAGCTAACTCATCTGGCTACAAATTTGATTCAGACATCTTTCTCCAATTGGATCACTTTCTATGCCAAAAATAGGTCTCAATATAACAGACTATGTAACGAAATTTCTTGTTTTAAACAAGCAGCTGCACCTTCTTTCAATGTTTTTATTATAACTTTGTATTTTGATGTCCGATTGAGGTGATTCAAAATGAGCTGGAAAGCTAACTCATCTAGATACA